GCGCGACCCTGCCCGTGAGCAATCTCCCAACTCATCTCTGTACATACATACATACACACCGTACCTGCAGTGGCACACGGCAAAACGTGTTTGGTTGTGTTATTAATCGAGAAGGTTAGGATCATTTCATTGTTATAAACAAGTACGGACATATTGTTAAAATGAACTCTACTCGAAAGAAGATTAATCATCAGTCGGTGTTTAAACCTCGCACGAAATGTGATGACAATTCAGAATTATCGAGTGAAATGATTATCAGTGCAAGAAAAACTGGCCAATTGAACTTATCATCACGCGGCTTGGCTACTGGTAATTTTCTTGGGTCCATCATTTAGATTAATTTACAATTATAATGTATCATTACGTCATAAGAATTATGTAAGAGATGTGTTACACTTTTATTTATTTTAGTATGTTTAAATATTAAGAGTAAAATGATGAAGAGTTAAGAGAGATAGAGAGAGAGAGTGAGAGAGAGAGAGAGAGAGAATTTCGGAGATTTCTTTACTCAATAAAAATTTACCAGATTAGAAAATGAACCTTTCCAAAAATAAACAATGTTTTAGTACCTCTTAGAGTATGGAATATACACGAGTGGACAGATGAAGAAATGAAACATGTTAATGTTGCTTGGGATTCTCAAAATGAAGGCGAAAGATGGTGGGAACAAGAACCACTGAAAACATTAAATTTGAGCTGTAACAGCTTAATTTATTTAGACTCAAAAATTGAACTATTATCTGAAATCTGTAATATGGATGTAAGTTATATATTTTCTTAAATGGAAGGAACATCAGTCTGTGTCATTCTTAATTAATTGTTTTAGTTACATGACAATCTGTTGGAAACAGTGCCACCAGAGATGGGTAATTTAAACAAGTTACAAAAACTTGATATGTCAACCAATAAATTGGAAACCCTTCCGTCAAATTTCTTTAATTTATATGAACTACGTTATTTGGATTTACATAATAATGCCTTAAAGGAACTGGATGCTGCTGTAGGAGATTTAATTATGTTGGAATATATGGTAACATATTTTATAACATTTTTTTGTTTCTGGGGCTCTATGATAAATCTTTCTCTATGCTGTTTATTCAGAATATTTCCTGTAACAACTTAACCAACTTGCCTGTCGGAATGGGGTATCTGGTACGATTGGTCTCTCTTGATTTGAGCCACAATAAGCTGAAAGAGTTACCACCAGATATAATGAGCATGCGAGGTGTGTTTTGGAATCACAAAAACTAAGTGATGTGTACAAATATTTATATGCTCGCACGTAGTGTAGTTAACCACTAGCATGCACCAAATATTAACCTCTTGCCATATAATGGCGAATAAGACTCATCACATAAATCTGCAGTACCAATTTAAATTGCATGGTAAGGGGTTAAGTAGATCTAACTGTAGTGTTACTTCATTGTCCCATGATAATTTATATGTGTTTGTATTTAGTGTGATGTAATGTGTTAACTCTTTTATTATAAAACTTTTGGAATATGTAAATTCTGTAATGCACTAGTGAGAACTATTATTGTACAAGTTTATGTTTAATTAATATTACTTATGAAATGGTTACACAAATATTCAGCAATTTGTTAATGAGGAAACTAAAAATCAGTTTATTGATAATAAATGTAATATATAAAGTATTTTTGAAATACTTTATATGATACGTTTATGCATGATGCTTGTTGAATTTTGACAAAAGGTTGTAGTTCTCTGGAGAACAGGTTCACAAACTGTGTACTTTTGTACAGGATTAAAGAAATTAGATGTGAGCTTCAATCATTTGGAAATTCTGCCACCTTTTGGGGAATTACGAAAATTGGAAGTACTGGTTCTCCGAGAAAATAATTTACGAATCTTCCCTGATACAACTGGTTGCATAGCATTACGTGAGCTTCACCTGGCTAATAACTGCATTACTGTATGTAATAACTGATGTGTTCATTATAATTTCTGAATTTATTTCACTTATATGTCATCAGGATTTATTTGTTTGTTTTTGTTATTTTGCAGTATTGTTGTTTCCTATTAGACACTATACAATAGGCAACATATTTTACTGTCATTATATTAATGAAATAATTGACTTTTCACTCAAAATGATTTTAATTACAACTTTCTATAATACATGTTTATTGTTCTCAGACAATTTTCTTATTACTTCAATAATTTTGCAAATATTGATGTCATTCACAGGCACCTTTTTATTAATACTTGTTAGATTCAGTCACTGTTAAAAGAATCACTCAGTATAATTTTCTTTTAATGGTGGATTTTGCAGGAGATAAATGTTCCCTCTCTGGAAAGTATGGGGAAATTAAGAGCTCTGACATTAGGAAATAATAATATTGAAGTCATTCCTGAAGAAATTATACAGTTGCTCAATTTAGAACACCTTGATTTATCTTGTAACAATATATCTATGTAAGTTGCCTGTTTAGTGTTAATCATATTTATTGTTAATAATTATACACTGAAGTTGGAAGTTATCAACAGAATAGAATAAATGGTCTTTTTAGAGTTCCTACTTGCATCAGTATAATGCCCAATTTACAAGTGTTTATAATTGAAGGAAATGAAGTAAAAAATGTTAGAAGAGATATAATAAAATGTGGTACCTCAAGAGTGCTACGACATCTGAGACAAAATATAATTCCAATTTCTTCTGAATCGAGGTTGTCTCCGTTATTAGGCACTGATGATAGTACCTTTCCTGATAAGTATGTATACAATATGAAATTGCCGTTGAAAGGGTATGTTATCGATACCAATATAATGTTTCAGGTATTGTATGAAAAGAACAAAACTACTGAGTCTTACATCTCGAAACCTTCGTAACATTCCAGAAACAGTCTTTGATGATGCAATAGAAGCTCAAGTGACTTGTATCGATTTGAGCAAAAACAAATTGTGTATTTTGCAAAATAAATTACGAATAATTGCTACGGTAACAGATTTAAAGCTATCGCATAATCAGTTATCATTAATACCTGATTGGATTGGTGAAAATCTTAAACACCTTCAACATTTAGACTTAAGCAACAATCAATTGTCATCATTACCCGACAGCTTCAGCTTGCTTAAGTTCTTGCGGGAAATTAATATATCATTCAACAGGTACACATACGAACATGAAATGATTCGTATAATTTGTAAACTTTCTGTTTTTATTATTAAATAACGTATTAATGTTCCAGATTTACGAAAGTACCTGATTGCCTCTACACAATAGATGCTTTAGAAATATTACTTGCAGATACAAATCAAATAATTGAAATCGATGTTGCCTCTTTGGCCCAGTTGAAAAGACTTGCTACCTTAGATCTTTCTAATAATAATATTGGGTTCGTGCCACCGGAACTTGGTAATTTAAAAAATCTCAGGTAATTGTGATTGCATGAAAAACTATATTAACGGCAATTTAATATTTGAAACTGATGATTTCAAGAGTATGTGATTGAGCCTAATTATCTAAATGTCACAAATTCCTATGTGTTGTCTTAAGATTAAAAATCATCTCGACAGTATATTAATGTTATAAAACTGAAGTCATTTGCGTGATTCCTTTTTAGGACACTTATAATATCTGGAAACTGTTTTAAATTACCAAGACATGCAACGTTAATGAAGGGTACCGATGAAATCTTGGCTTATTTACGAGATCGAATTCCAACATAACGATATGGTATAGCTGTATGCAGATTGTTGAGACGTAAGCAGAATTACATTTTATATATCTTTCATTTTTGCAATATAAGTTACATGCTCAATTTATTTTGAACTGTTGTATTTTTTATACAGCTACAACTATACCTTTTTTCCTTTGCAGTTTAAATTAATGTTAATATGCCAGAGAAATATCAAATTATAGATCATGAGATAATGAGAAAGAAGTGATGGAAAAATATGGTTTGTCTTGTGGATTATATACATCATTGTGATCATTGTGAATATATTATACAATATTTGTATATACATATATGTGCGAAAAATGTGATAGTAACAGCACAAACTAATCACAGGAAAATAAGAGATCACTTAAGAGATAGCTTAAGTTTCAATTTTGTCAGAATTTGAATGTTCTGCAATATTTGAGTTTTTTGTTCATCGCGAAACAATTACAATTCTGGATCGAAATGTATTGTAGATGGAATGAGATATACACAGTATTAAGTAAATTATACTAGTCAATGTCTGTAGTACATCTTATGTAATTTGATTTACATACATAAGTTATTTATTTGATTTACGTATTATAAGTTTGTAGATATATTTATGTAAAAAGTCAATACAAAATATTCCATAATCCTAACGTATCATATTCTTCAATTATTTTTTCAGAATGAAGAGTATAAAGAAATTATAAAAGTGAATTAAACCTTGCAAATTTCAATGCCAAAGGCTTTTACTTCTGCTGCATTTATGTAAATTGTTTATTTGGGTTTAAACTATATCAATTTAAGAATGAAAATGAAAATTAATTCTCGAATTTAAAACATTGAAATACATATGTTTATTGAATTTGTTTTGTTTATTATATAAAGTTAACGTATATCCAATGATTACCAGCTTTTTATGATTGACAAGTTTTAGGAATTTGAAAATAATATCACTAATAATTTGTATCTATATACAATTAGGGAAATTTATTGGTCTGTAGAATATTGACAATCCCATTTTTTCAATTGAAACAAATTGAAATAACCATGTGAATTGGCGTTTTTTTCCATTTAAAAGTAGAATTCGGTTTGCCGATGAATTCCGATGTCTCCTCGGAATTCATCGGTTTCTGGCAGCAGAGATCTCTGGTAGCAGCAAGTAGTAGCTGATAGAAAGCTCCTGCTGCCATATTTAATTTTTAGTTCCTCTTTCGTGGTTTCCTACAGATTGCTCTGAAATCGTGAAGCCGTTGCTATAGATGAGATTTAAATCTGCCTTTTGGGTTATATCTATGGTCGGCGTATAAAAATGGATCGTGTGGAGGGCGGATTTGATGTTTTCGATTCGTAGGTGAAATAGTGATAGTAAAAATAGGATTGATTCGGTAAATAGACTAACGCTAATACCTATATTGTCGGGATAAATGTACATTTAAGATTTATTTGTAAAAGGTTTGCCAAACAGTGAGAGGATTCATTCATGAGATATTTTAAAATGGCATAAAAAACGCGGTTTGCGTCGGATGATTTTCACTTTTCTACTGTTGGCATAGATTACTACTGAAGGGAAGCTGTGCATACTGCCTATTGTTGATGGTCTAACGGTAGCAGGATTTGAAAACTGAATCATTAATTTAACAACATTCACTATGAAGAACTTTATTTTCCTTCTTGCCTTTATTGAACTGGTATTTGGGCACGAAGATGGAGAATTCACATTGCAATATAATGAAGAAACATTCCCAATTGAAGTACCAAAAAAAAATCATTTTGTCATGTTTTACGCGCCTTGGTGAGTAGTTTTCAATCTTAAGAGAAAATTAATTTTCAGTCGTGACTGAAAGTATTATGAATCTAACAAGTATAGCAATGGATACATGTTGCATAAGTGTGTTATGGGTAATAACCCGTTATTTTTATAATTAATGAACATCGTAAAGGGCATTTTTCCATGGAATTTGTAAAATGAAATATCACATTCATTGATGATTTAGTTATAAATTTTATTATTTTTATTTAATTTTAATTTGAATTCATTACATCAACCAAAGTGTCTCAGTTATCTTCTGTCAACGCCCACAGCATAGTATTGTATTTCAGTATGTGATAAGATTTCGATTTGAACCTCCTATCCTCAAAAGTGTGTACAATATATTTCAGTATTCTTTAAAAGATATTTGTTATTATCTTTATATCTGTAACATTTCATTATGAATCAGTGGATTATATTTCATTAGTTTGTAGCTAAATTCTAGGATTATTTAGTATAGGTATGTCAATTTGCTTTGTATTCATAACAACTGCATTTTCAACTGGCTTATTTAAATACATTTTTTAGAATATATTTCATTTTGTTACAATGCTTACTGAATCTTTTACTTTTTGATTATCATTGCTAAGTTTCAGTGATCATTCATTCATGTATGTAAAATACTGTTCTTTCAATTGCAAATGAATGATTTTATTGTCCTTCAGGTGTGGACACTGCCAAAGATTAAGTCCTACGTGGGAACAATTAGCGGAAATGTTGCATGAAGATGAAGATAGTCGTGTTCGAATAGCTAAAGTTGATTGCACTACAGATAATGCTATATGTTCTGAACATGATGTAACAGGTTATCCAACGTATGTTCAATTTCATCACTTATATTTTTTTCAATGAGAAACACTACTTCAAAATTTCTTGTGTAAGTGTAAGGGTTACATAGTGAATTTGTAAGAACATTCATCATGTTGCAGACTCAAGTTCTTCAAAGTTGGTGAGAAAAAGGGAAGTCGGTTTAGAGGAACTCGAGATTTACCTTCCTTAACTGCTTTTATCAATGAGCAACTGGGTAGCGTTCCAAAGGTTATGATTCAATTCCCTGTATCATTTTATTTTCTCTTTCAGTTCTTAAATAAATGATCATTATAGGAGGAGGAACTTGACCCTTCATCTCCAGAAGCCATTAATGGGTTGATTGAGCTAACGGAAGACACATTTGACGATCATGTGGTCAAGGGTCAACACTTCATTAAGTTTTATGCACCTTGGTGTGGTCATTGTCAAAAGCTAGCCCCTACTTGGGATGAACTTGCCAATAGTTTTCGTCATGATAATTCTGTTAGTATTGCAAAAGTTGATTGCACTCAACATCGCTCAGTATGTGGCCAGTTCGACATTAAAGGATATCCAACATTGCTATGGATTGAAGATGGAAAAAAAGTAATGTGGAATTATGTTTCAGTGTAAACATTAATAAGGATATTTTATCTTTTAAGTTATTTATAAAATATTTTCATAATGTGTTAATTTTACAATCAGGTCATGAATTTATGGCACTTTGCATCCAAAACATAAACAAGCATTTAAATACTACAGTAAAAAATTTTAGTTTTGGAATATTTAAGATTTTTTACAGCTGGATAGTGAACAACGCAAACTCTTATTGAGTAGAAGCCATGTCTGTGCTATCATTAGTTTCTGATAGATTCCTTTTCAAATAAGACCCCAATAGTGTTTTGGTATTACAGGTATTGTTAATTGACTTAAATTGCATAGATATATAATAAACATATACTAATTTATACTCTGGGGTAACAAATATGTTCTGAAGTGTAGAAGTTTGAAATTTGAGGTTAGAAATATTGTTATGATCAATGGTTAATACGAATGTTTATGGGTAAAAGTCTTTTACTTTTGCATAACAGGTGGACAAGTATACAGGTGAACGTGGTCACGAACAATTAAAATCCTATGTTTCCATGATGCTTGGGAAAAGTGAGGATAAAACCACTGATAAAAAAGATGACACCGATGATGACACGATTCATTCTGTCATGACGTTAACTGGTGACAACTTTGAACATGGTGTAGAAAAAGGAATTTCTTTTATTAAATTCTTTGCACCTTGGTGTGGCCATTGTAAAAGAATGGCACCTACCTGGGAAGAACTTGGTAAAAAGTTTTTGAGCAATGAGAATGTCAACATTGTCAAAGTAGACTGCACAATGGATGCTAGCAAAAAATTGTGCAGTGATCAAGAAGTCGATGGTTTTCCGACTTTATTCTTATATCGTGATGGTCAGAAAGTAACCGAATACAATGGTTCACGACGCCTTGACGACTTATATGAATTTGTCATGAAGCATATCCAATCTCACGACGAACTGTGATTACTCATTTTCTTGTTGTAATAATTTTTCATTATACTTTGATAAGTCAATACTCATGGGAAGTATAAATACATTTAAAAAAAAACGTTTCATATAATAGTTGAGTCTAATTGAATCTGATTATATGTGTTATGAATTATCCTTATTCAGCGTTGCACTTAACTGGTCTGCTAAATGTTAACATGTTTATAACGAGTTTTTAATGCTTACCATTGTGTTAAAAAATGTACCGTTCATTTTTAAAAAATTTATTTTTAGTATTTTCCTATTGGTGATTTATGAAATCTGCAAATGATTAACAATATGATTACATGCCTCAAAATGTAATTAAATTTGTATTCTTGTGTCTTGCCTTTTATCTTATATTTTGTGCATATTTAATAATTACCTCGCAGAAACTCATAATTAAACCTTATAATGCAAATGTAATTCTACAGGGTGTGGTCTAATAATATTCGGAGGATGCAAAATTCATTTTATTAAGTTTCTCATTGATTTTCTGGATTAATGTAAAAAAGCTTCCTGAAACTTAGACACGCGAATATTTTAACGTATTGGAACAATTACTAACTGATAATGGTGCGTCACATTTAACAAATCGGTACGGAAGTAATTTTTCTTATTTGTACTTACCATCTATAAAAGAAAATTAAGACATGTTATCAAATGACATTTCATTCGTTATGGAGTTTTATGACACTCATATGATTACTTTCTTTCCTGGCATTATAAATCATTCGAATTTAAGCGGTATGTTATCATATTGTTGATCAGAAATTTTGAAAACACAACTTTGATCTTATACCGATATACTCATTCTATGAAGAGTGAAATGATATGTGTGCATCTGTAACTCATGATTCATCATTAAAGCGACTTTCTAATATTGCTGGGTTGGTCTATACGTTACCCTGTAACAATAAACTGAGAAAAATCAACATGTTTTACTTTAAGAGAACCAAAGGGTTTTCGAGTAAGGTACTGGGATCGAGATAAGAGGCGTCAAATATATATTACATAAATACGCAATACATTATACACTAAGTTCATTTACAACTACTTTACATAAGGTATGTACATGAACTACGTCATAATTAATACCCGAAGAAGTCAATTAGAAAGAAGCCACCAGCTTCGAACTGCTTACAGTTACAGTCTTTTATTCACACTTACTGTGTTTATATCTCACATTACCGTGTAATTATTTATAACACTGACATAATGAAAATTGCACAAGAACATGTGAAACGATTTCATTCGTAACACACGAAACTACTCGCATCACCTTGCCTCGCCGCTTCTTAAGAATACCATTTACTGAGATTTCCGGTGTATACTAACGAACCTTTCATCATAATAGTATGAAACATTATAGTAATGAAAGAAAATGCACAGAATATCACAGTTAAGATACGATAGCAATTATATATAATACTCCTTTTAATGAAATCTAGGTATTTAAAATAATTACACGTCGATACTCTCATTTATGTTTCGCGCTTACCAAGAAAGTCTAGCCAGTATTTTTAAATTTGACGGTTTTCCTTTAAAGTGACCGGGAATGACGAAAATACAATGTTTATAAACGAATGGCCAGAGAAAGAATCTTATCGAGCTGAGTAGTTTACTTGAAGCCTCAATTACTTACGCTTGGTCATTATTATTTATATTTAATTGGGTATAAACACTGTAGGGACCAGTTTCTGTTAAAGGACTAGGGGAGTACTGTAATAGTATCCCTAAATCAAGCGAAACTTCAAAAATTGTTCAGGATACGAAGATTTGGTCGGATTCGGTGAAAATTAAGTATAGTAACGCTGGTACATTTTATCGAGAAGATTTGTTATCGGAATCTCCCCAATGGTCTCCCGAAAGAACAAAAGTTCCACGGTGGTCGATTTCACCGCCCTTAAATGTGGCAGCAACAACAATAGCCTTCCAAATCTCATTGGCTGTTGTGGATAACGCGATCTTATGTAATCTCCAAGGATACATTGCGCCTGATCCTGCAGCAGTTCGACGGACTGGACGTCCCGGAGTCCCGTAGTTTCTAAACAATGTCAAATTTCTCTATGAATTTTCCTTGGAAATTGGGCAATTTGGGCAACTGAATGACAGACCCTTCCCTTAATCTACTTCGGCGAAATAATTTTTTGACATATCAGCTCTCTATGGATTATACATACCGGGGGTAAAAAGGACAATTGCTTTCAAGCAGCCGCATTCCCCTCCATCGAGCGAGAGTTGTCTGAATCTGCACATTATTTTCTGAAATGTAAACGATGGAAAGTTCAGTTGTCTGTTAGCTTCTTTCCGGCGTATTTTTATTTACTCGCGAATGGCACTTTTTGCTTCCAAATACCTGAATAGTGGCGAGCTCGAGACGAGATTCAGCGTCAGGTGGTAATCTTTCGCGGACTTGTTCTCCCTCGAAAAGACCCGTGATGTCCCAGGATATAGACCACTGTGCAAGATGTAGGAGAAACAACTGGGTCCAAGCCTGTTGTAGCAACAGTAGTTGGTCTTCTTTCGACAGGGTTTGAAAAGGTCCCAGACAGCGGACCCATCGTACAGACATAAAAAGAAGTCGTGCAGTTGTCTCCTGTAATTTTGTTCAATAGTTTTTTACGGATATATTAAGGTAGTGTTATTCTCTGACGTTACCAACAAAGTCAATGGTATCATAAGAGAATTTGAAAAATGATCGCAATATGACTCTAACAAATGCCAACACGCCAACATTTGATTTTAAATTGTCCTCCCCGATTCTTTATTCAACTTATGAGGTAATACTAAATTTAGAAAAATGTAATAAAATGTACAGGAAACCGTACTGACAATTATATAAATTACGATTAAATAGGAATAATACTAAGCAAAAATACCTGTAGCACTTCCCAGGTTGGGCTGAGCCCCACAGGACTATGACTAGTTTCCGCTTCCGATTGATCCAAGGACCCCTCGCCTTCCGGTTGTAAGCCAGTGCCCCATACAAATTCCTTTTACAAAACATTCTTTTTAATCCGATTTGATAAACAAATCTCTCAATTTATAATATCTTTAACGAATGAATCATTGTATCCTTTTTCTTTAAAATATCCGGAGTAGATACGTCCGCTGTAATGGCAGTCTAACATCCGAAAAAAATTCTTTTGATGTCTTTTTCAATTAATTCATCTAAATGTCACACTTTTTAATCCCTCGGGTTGACATCGTTTTTCACAAACTTCGTTATTTTGGACAATTCATGGTATACGATACTCTTTTATTCCAATAAGCCCTTCAATCGCTGATAAATCCCATACCTTCAATTACCCTGGTAGCACAAAATATTTGTCCTATATTTTCTATATATTTAACGAATATCGTACATTTTGTAAATATTTATACTTTAGAATATGATCTCTATAATATTTATATAATATTAACTCCATGTGTTTTCATAATATTTTTCTACCAGATATACAAAATATTTCGTTTCATTTTAATACAAGTATTATTTAAATATTATCTGCCGAATACATTACAAACATTTTAAAAATATTTAAAATCAAAATCACACGTTTTGCTCCTATAATGAAATAGCGGAACGAAAATATTACAAACATTTCTCGTGTTTTTTGATACCCAATGAAGTGTCCGATAATAGTCGTGAAGTAAAAAATGTATTTTCATTATGTTAATAAGTTAAATAATATTTCTCTATATGTTTATAAATTATTGAAACTAAATATGTCATTGAGATTTTCAACAAATATTTCAAATATCTTCGAATGAAATCTACAAAAGATCTTAAAAAATCTGTCGCTCGAGATATTTAGCAAAGATTACAAAGAAATATTTAGAAGTTATTCTATGCTACTAGGGTAATGACGTATCAGTAAACCGGAAAACATTGAAACACGTTGTATCCTTCATTCTCTCCAAAGATTGACTTAAATTAACGCTCGATTCAATTAAATGCTGAAATTTGAGATTTGGATCTCTGGAATCGCTTCTTAGAGTCGTCGAGAGGGTGAGAAGTGATAACTTGCGGAAGTTTGCGTTTTAGTCGAGGATTGCATTATTTAGAAGTACGTCCTTAAACTGGTGGACTAATACGAAAGCAAACGAGGCAGTCGACGGTTTGGAATGAATTACTTACTTGACATTTCTCGGCCGATATGAGATTGTGTAGCAAAGGAGGCTGAGAGCCGAGAGTGACGGTGGCCGTGTGATAAAGACCATTTCCAGCAGGAGGTGGAGGAGGCAAATTTCGGGGAGCAGGGGATGGAGAATCTTCCGACGGTTTCTGGACGAGGGACACAGTTCGCGGATAAGGAACCGGCCTTTGGTCGCATCTCAGTCGCCTGCAACGTAATTCGTTATTTATATTGAATCGGATTAAAAACGGGAATCCCTTACCTCGAACATGTACGCAAAGTATGCACGTCGTCAAATGACGAAGGTACTTCAAAAACATATAATTTTCAAGCAGAAACGTCTACCGTAATATACCGTACACGCCATTCTCTCTTAACGTCTTATGTTTTCATGTCTTATAACAAATAATCCGTAATACAAGATATCTCACATCGGTCGTATGACCCTATAAAGGGTTAAATGTGACGTCTGAAATTGAATCTTCCTTTATCATTTTTTATCACGGCCATTATTTGGTAAGTTATTAAACGTCTATATAGCCTTATCAGGCGCATGGTAAAATTCCATAAAATTTTCCTCAGTACCCCTTTCATCTTCTTTTAACTAAATGGGTTGACCTAGAGAATGCGATGGCACAGAGCAACGGGGTGGTGGGAGAGGGGAAAGGGTTGCAAGAAAAGTAAGTAATGGGAAGAATATTTTCGTTACGCACTATTTCTCATCTTACACAAAGAGTGCACCAACAGGTGGGCAGAGGATGACTCTTAAACAACGTAAAGCGGAGGGGTCCAGGGCTGGAAAGTGTAAGCTAAGAATCCCTCCTCTTCAGGGTTGTTCCTCTGATAAGACGAAAAGTTCACGAAAAGACAGACAAATTATTTTCCACCTTTCTCATTCCCTTAAAAACAAAAGAAAAATATGCGGTGATCCGTGAACAAAAAGACTACGGTATTGTAGATACGACTGGTGCAATTACGTACCTACATCAATACGGAAAGGGAGAATGAACATCGAAACTATTTATTATAACTTAATGGTACAAGGATACATAAAATATGTGCAGATATATATGCATTATATCATTTCTGATTAAGCCAATTAGAACGTATACGCACCTGTGATGAGACAATAGATGAGTCCTGGTCAGGTCGATGCGCGGTGCCTCGTGATGAATGGGCGTTCCTGGATGTGGCGACAACTGGGGCGAGATCTGCGCCACGACGGGACTTTGTTGCTGGTGGTGTTTGTCAGAAAGAACCGAGTGTGGTTTCGGCTTCCTGGGTCCTCGCTCGTGTTGTACTGCTAAACATCAATCGAACCAAACGCATGAACTCTCTTCCATTCCTCGGTAAATCCAAACCTGAATTCCACATACCCTTCAATTAATTCTACACGATTAAACGAAAAATACCGTAACATTGCAACATTCTCGTTGAAAGATTTATTGAGACCAGGTATACCATTTTCATAAAATATTTTCAAATTAAATTGATACGTTATGCATTTTCTCGACACATACGTGTATCAAGTTTCCTGTACAATTTCACATAACCATAAGAGGATGTCGAAAAATTACAAATTTATTTGGTTTATAATAAATGCATACCAGTCGCTATATACGACATAAAATTTATAACGTTCCTACAACCTTCACTTATTACTAAAGTGCTGTTTTCGCTGCGTGTGTGTATCTATGCATGTCACGAAACCAACCTCACGCGATTTTGATGGGTTCCGAGGATCTCATAAAAAGTATCAGATTTTAAAAATTCATCGCATGAACGAGTTTCGGCGAATAGTTCGCCCCTCTAGTCTCGTGTACTAAAAGTGTACGAATTCTCTCGGTATTTTCAACAATGTAGACATTCGGTCGCAGGCAAAGCCCCATTGGAAATAGAATCAAGTGACTCCTTGGATAGAGCGCATGAAACGTCAGATGAAAACGATAGTCGGAGCCGCGAAGGTCCGGTCTCCGATTCGATCAATGGAGCAACGATTGGAGGGGTAAGAAAGCACGGGGGTTGCTTCTCACACCTATATAAGGATGTACGGGATGTACAGAAGCCGCGGCCAGCAAGACGCGCCGGTGGGTCGCGGGGGCCGGCCAAGGGTGTAGAAGACACGGGGAGGGCTCGGCGAGTTTGGAGGGTTTGAGGGTTAGGAAGGCGTGGAGAACGCGAAGGACGCGGAAGACGCGGAGGATACGGGGGCGAGTGATAGATGCGGTGGCCGGGCTTCGGCTTCCAGGGTTTGGTCTCGGCAGCCGGCAGCCGCCGCTACCACTGGGTGGCAGGCACATCATCATTAATGAGGCTGAGCGGATACCACCCGGGTGTTCCCACGTTCGCACTGGCGCAGGAATATCCGTTTCATCCAAAGGACCGAAGCCCCGGAAGGATGCATTGGCGTCCTCGATCGGTTTGCTCCCGGAGGCGATAAAGGGACACCGCGGTCCGCCATTTGCCGACGCCTTGCTACGGTTTGGTTTCGAAACGTCTCCACTTGAGAAATAGATCCAGGATGTGTGGACCGTGGTTGTTCCGGAATGACTTACATCGAAAGCAACGAAATTACATAGAGAACAAAATTACATAGAGTACATAAAGAAATTACATAGAGAAAATACATAGAGTTATTTATTACACTTATATGTAAAGAAGAAAAATCGTATTGCAAAAGTGATGGCCGATGCGAAACTTCTGCACTCGGTGAAAGCGAAGTCGGATACTCGTAACAACCCTGATATCGGAAGAAGTCCCGATCGATGGAACTAACGAGGGAAAATGCGTTATCGTTATAAAAAGAATGTCTGGTTTATGGTACGTCGCTGAATATCCGAGGCTTCCGTCGCAACCCCGCTTATCAAAACACAAAATGCCGGTCGAGCAAATATTAAAAGCGTGAGCGGGACCGGCTGCTTGAGCTTCGATGAAAATAGCTTAGAGGTTATTTGGTTAATCGATCTACTTGGAGATTTCGCGATTAGCGAATGCGAGTGGACAAGATTTGTAGGAATTAGGTGTTAGTTATATTTACCGATCAGGTTGCGTAAATGGAGACGAGCCTAGCAAGGGGTTCAACCGGATTGCCAAGCGCAGAATGACCGACATTCAAAATAGAACATTCTATTAACATAGCGTTCAAATCTCAAATTAATAGAGCAGAAATTTCTCCACCTCGTGCCTGTCCTGCACATTCTTGATAATATTTAGACTATTTATCCCATCGCCACATTCCTTGACCACTTGTAAATTCTCCGCGACGAAAAAAGACCGTAAACTTCATGGTTTATCTCTTATCGTACTGTGTGAACTCAATTAGGGGAAAATGCATTCTAGTCACCTAAATCATACCTCGAGTATGTATCTATTGTTACGTAACAACATCTAATACTCGATCGCACCCCGTCTATTTTTATTGTCATTTAACGTTTGTGTTCACACATTGTTTGCCGCAAACTTGTATCGTTAAAGGACGTGATCACGTCAGCGGCAATCAGGAATAGAATTTAAAATAACGTGAATTCACGTCAGCGGCAACTAGGAATAGAACTTGAAAAGACGTGAATTCACGTCAGCGGTCGCGAATGTGTTAACATCTAGCACTCGATGTCAAACTTTAAACAACAACGAAAACACGTGGGCTGCGACATAGATGACGTTTGGCAATTTTCTTCTACGCAGCAACATCGGCGTATTACCTATAGGTTAATGTTTAACGTTATGCTTAGAAGACAAAAGACATTCCACCAACTGCACGATTCATCTCACCGATGGGACGCGCCGATGAAAGCTCAACGTCTGGACCAAGGGATGAGAAGGGACGCTCGGAAACGCGCGGGTGGTCAAAGACACAAGTTTTCGAGCCTGTGAGCTCACGAACCGACCAAGCGAGGATTTGGGTAGGTTTGGGTAAAGGCGACGAGAAATCCTCCGGTGGATTTAAGCGAAGGACGCTCCGCGACGTTCCCGATCTATTTGGCTAATTCAATTACCACCAGTCGCTCTGGCCGCCTTCCCCTTTCTATCCGAGAAAGTCGAGGGCTTAGTTGCAAGTCGAAAAGTCAGGCCTGGAACTGGAGACTCGCTTTTAAAATATGTAAACAGTAAAAGCGCGCGGAAACGAGACTTTAATCGCGGTAATTAACCATCCGCGAAGTTGGACCCGAACCAAGCGAGTCGTTATTCATCCGATTATGCGAGTCGAGTGCACGACAATTCGTTTTGGCATATATTTTTCTCAGGTTCCAAATGTTGGCAACAAAGATACAGATTGTTATACATTAACGTCGTAGTGTCTCATCTTCCTTCGCCGGTTACCGGATCATGGAAATGCCGTTTAAATTCGCAGTTCTACAGAACGAAAGCATCCCCTTCCAATTGAGGATTCTCCTAGACGGCTTGAAAAGATTCAGCATTATTCTCAGGCGGATTTGAAGAATATGCCCAGTTACTACCCCAGCATTCAGTGACCCTAAGTTCTCGAAATCTAGGCAGGGTCTTTCCTTTTTCCCTTATTTCTAAGCACACGGGCTCCCGGAGACTCGTTCTCTCTTTTTCCCCTTTCTTCCTTCCTTTCCAGGCACCCGGGTTCAGAGAGATTCTCCGGGGGTTCCATCGACGGCGACCCTTGGCATGGAATTCGCGAGTCGCGGAGTGTACGATGGGATTAGAGCGGCATGCCGCGGAATGGACCTCGCCCGGTCGACACGGGGGCGCCTCAGTCGGCGCCCGGACGCGGACGTGTGCGGGCGCGCGTATTTACGTAGATAGAGGCGAGAGCACGGCGTAGGTATAAAGCGATCCGACGCGAGGGCGGGGGTGGCGGCACGTGTGGGCCACAATGCGCGTTCCCACACGCGCGGCCGACCCCTACGCGGGAGCGCACCCCCGGGCCGAGCTCCGGGTCGTATATACGCCACGGTGGAGCCGCTCGTGGATCACGGGCTCACACTCTCTATCCTACTAAACGGTAAACCGATCTGTGAACATTTCAGCAGTCAGCGATCTCGAAGGCTAATCCCCGGGTCGAGCGGGGTCGCTACATCGGGCCGAACCCTCCGCTCCTCGCCTTCTCCCGCGACCTGCGTTCCGCGCCCACCACCCGCCTCCATATGTGTCCCAAGTGCGCACCTACGATTACACCTCCGAACCGGACGCGGCCGCCCACCCTCGATTATTCAAACGCCGAGGACGCCGCGGGGGGCGCGGTCAATTCTGCCCGGCCGCCTTCCGCCCTTCGATGTTTCGCGTTATCCGTAGGTAAGAATGGCCAGAGCTTTTTCCGGATCGATTATATGCCCGAGATAAAGGAGGTTCGATTATTTCGGTAATCTTCTCCGAAAGGCCACTAACGAAGTACCGTCTGGTCTCAGCTACGGTTCGTGCAAGTAGTCCAGAAGTATGGTCAAGATATTTAAACGCGTAAACGCTCGGCATAGTGAAATTAGCAGCGTCTTATAGCTGCCCGGGTATTTCTTCGACATGCCGATATCCTACGGCCGTCTGGGGTATCCCCGATCAAAAATGCCTGCAGCATCAATTTTAATACGTGTAGCAGTCGCCATCGACGCTGCCTCTTCTCTTTCTCTCCTTTCTCCCCGGAAGCGGTTTTCCTGCGTCGAGACATATTTTTCAATCACATCTTCCTCTAAAGCAAGAGATCGTCCGACGTTAAAAAGAAAAATACGTGCATAGGCCATTTAAATCGATTTAAAACACGTAGCAATTAACGCGATCTCTCTTTCTCTCCTTTCTCCTAGTTTCTCCTCCTGAGGCGACATATTTTCCCGCCGAGTCTTCTCGCACTTTCGCAGAGGGCAACGGATCGTCCGCCTTGGCGTGACGAGTGACGATCAAAGCCTGGCTTAACGCAACGACCCGTTTCGCCGACACGTCGCATCGCGTCGCCTCGCCTCGCATCATACGGAGCAGCGCACCCTCGTACCCCGGATCGCCGTTTACGTGGATGGATTGATGCTGGCCGCCACGCGCGGGGCACGCCTCGCTTCGTTGCGTTACCAGCCGTCTACTCTCACGAGGCCCCCTACGCGTCCCTCTCGCCGACTGCCCCGCTGCACCCTGCGCGGCTCGCACATCCTCTGGAGCCCTCGCGCCCCGGGTCCCGGGCCTCGATCCCGGACTCGGATCTCGAGGAAGCGAGGATCGCGTGCTCCGACGCGCACCCCAAGAGGAAACTCGCCCTCTCGGCTGGACACGAACCCAACTTTTTTAACCCCCACTTTTAACTTTCGACCAACTCGCCAGATATCGAGCGGAAATTTCCCTGGTTCTATTTTGCAG